ATCCATCCATCCATCCATCCATCCATCCATCCATCCATCCATCCATCGTGACTCTGATGTCACGTGTGCCACAGAATGGCAGCACTGATGGGAACTCCACTTCAACACAATCTTACTTTGTTCCTGTTGCTTTTGTAACTTTTTTTGCGCCTACACTGCACACACACACTACGGGTATGACCGTAATGCACTTTTGGAGTTTTCTGTGTCGCTGTCGTGCCATCCTGCCATCATGGTTCCATTCCAGGCCCCCTTCCAGCCTCGGGCTCAGGCTATGCCCTTTCATGGCAGCCGTCTCCACGATCCTCTGTCTGCCTGCATGGAGCAAACTCTACGGATCTGTTCGTTTCCACAGGGAAAGCTTGGATGTTCTTTGTCTGCCGGACCCGGTTCTGGAGGGCAGTTGCTGCGGTCATTATAATCATCATGCTGCTAATGGGATCTGCTAACAGAACCACACTACTAACAGTACCATGGTGCCAATAGGACCACGCTGCTGTAGATTTATTTCTTTTTTGCTTTTGGCACCTTGTTTTTGTATTTTTGTTGCACGCTTTGGTATTTGCTGCTGTTGTTGTTTTGGCAAGTCGAGATGGTTCTTCTCGTCCTGAGCATTTCATTGCATTGATGACCTTGTGTTGATTTGTAAATGACAAATAAACCATACCTATATATTCATCCATCCATCCATTATATTTACTTCTTCCTTTTTGGGTCACGAGGGTCATTGGCGCTCATGTCCAGCAGTCAGTGTGAGAGGTGGGGGACTCTCTGGACCGGTCTCCAGTCCATCACAGGGTAATTCATAATTCACTCTCTATATTAGCTTTTAGAGACTTTAACTACAGTATCTGAGTTGGTAAACCTTTGTGAGGTCATACAGGGTTGAAACTGCAATGTGTGGTCAGTGGGTTGAACTATAGAGCAAGATTAATGGGGTGACCAAACTCTTCTTTTGTCCTGGCTGTGTCACCAAGGTAATTTACAGATTTAAAAAATTAAAAAAAAAAACAGCTTGGGAAAAAAAAAAAAAAAAACTGCTGTATGTGTTGCATTGCCATGGGAACAAAAACCCTGCATTGCTTGGCATTTACTTCAGTCAAGTTATGAAGAAAATGCATAAACTTAAAGAACGGTCCATTTTACATAGGACACAAAGGTTTATCTGGTATTTATCAAAGATAATATTGAATCAATTCAGTGTTATTTACTTTTTAAACTTTAAATCTAATGTGATTTCCAAAAAAAAAAAAGTTCATTAAGAAACTTCATGAGACGTGAATGCTATAAACAGAACACAACCCAAAACAATGTTACATTTGAGTCCTTTCGATTCAACCAGTGCACCAAACTAAGTCTGGAGTAGATCAAAAAGAAGCTTAGAACAGACACAAAATAACACAGTGGTTGACAGAAAGACAGAGATTACTTGATTTATATGCAAAATGTTTTCTAAGTCCTTCCAAACCCCATTTTATTTTTGTTGCCCTGCTAATTCCTCTCATGTTGGCAGCGGTGACAGACAGGCACATGAAGTAATTACCACAGAAGTAAGATTGATTATTTCTCTCAAGGATGAACGAGAAGAATGGAAGCAAAGTGACACATCTAATAAGATCCTACCACCATCAATGCATCATTTAAACACAAATCTGAACAGATGCAAACAACATCCTTATTGATGGAAACTTCTGCTTAATTCTTGAGCTTGGACTCCGAGCCATGTTGACAACAGAAGCTTTTCTGATTCGCTGGATGATTCCTGACTGTAGAGCTTTCAACGTACATCACTCAACATTTCACACACCCTGATTAGGTATGCATGGAAGCAATAGTAGTCTTGCTGTGAGAATGCATCTTGGAATTTCGATCAGATTCTGTCATTTTCTGCATGATGTTGTCACTATGCAACGCTTTGAAAGACAGTACTGCTTCTGCAGCTCTTCCTTACCCCATCTATGTCCCTCTTTGAGATGCCACGAACGCGAGCATAGAAGTACAAATGCTCTTCTCCAGTGAGCAGATCATCAAGTGCATCCACCTGGGGACAGTAGCCGATGTTAATTCCCTTGTAGCGGCACTCCATGATGTCCACCAAGCGCCTGGGGGAAAGAAAATGCAAAGTAAAACATAAAAGCACAATGAAAAATAGATTGTTTGAAACAAATATATGAGTTTTTCTTCCTTGTCATGTTAATAAGCATCTAAATTTGATTGTTCTACAAATAAACTGATACTCGGAATGAAGCTTTGATGCAAAAAAATAAACAATAAATCAGTACTTTAATGTGCATGTGTGGATAAATCAATCAATCTACAGCTTACCCATCTCTGCCCCTGATCTGTGCCAACCCGTTGGTTGGGCTAACATCTCCAGTCAGCATCTTGAAGGTAGTAGTTTTTCCTGCACCATTCTCACCCAGCAGGCCAAAGCACTAAAAGACAAACACATTTCTTTGAACTCAAAGCATGAGATTGTTAGCAAGGAGTAGATGATGAAACAAAAACACATTTGTGAATAAGTAAATATTGTTCCCCTCAGCAGCCTGCTTTAGATAAGAATTTGTTGTTTTTAATCAAGCATTATTGACTAATCTATAGTTTGCTACATAATGAAACATGAATCAAAACTTTAGTTGTGGAATCAACAATAGAATATGAAAAAATGTATGTCTATTTTTGTAACTTTTTTTTTAATAATGTGGAGTGTCCCAAAGTTAATAAATTGGTATATGATTTGCTGAAAAAATGCTTATGATGACAAAATGTATCACTCACAGTTAGTGAGTGTAAAACTAGTCACCAATATTATATTTCTATGCTTATTTGGACAATTACACAAAACAGAATACAATAACACTTTTCCAACCTCAGCACATTCTGTTTGTATTACAAAATGATTCCTGAGCCTTACCTCTCCAGCAGGGATGCCCACAGACAGCTTCTTGACAGCATGCACCTTCTTATTGAGATGTTGATAGACTTTAGAGAGCTGGTTGACCTGCAATATGTCTGATTTGGCTTCTCCACTAGCAACTCTGAAATGCTCTGTTACCACATCTTCATCCTCTTCTTCAGGAACGAACTCAGGAACTGTTTTTCTGCCCAATATCAGATGCCTGCAACAGGGAACAATATGTTTTGTATGACCATTGGGAGTTAAAGTTGAGAAGAAAAAAAAATCTTATGCTACATGACTAGTCCCTCATTGGACTAATGTATTTCACAACTGTGTTGGTGATGCATAAAGACTGCAAATATGAATGTAGATAAATATGTATATGTATATATATATATATATATATATATATATATATATATATATATATATATATATATATTTATTTTTTTTTTTTTTTTTGTTATTTACTATAATAAAACAGAAACAATGGATTTAAAACATTGTACCATCTACAAGAAAACAACTAAAACTGATCATGAAACAACATTCTGTGCAATAATAAAATACAAGGCTTTGGATGTGCAGGTCTAGCTTTGTTTATAAGCATGCATGGTGTCAAAATTCAACATCTGGTTTCAGTTTTTCTCACCTGACTTTGCGTATGACAGCCTTGTTGAGCAAGAGGCGGAGAGTGAAGAAAACAAAGCCTTGGATGATGGAAGAGATGAACATCCAACCTAAGCTCTCGGTGGAAAATGGGTCTTTATAAGCATCAATTCCATATCCGCTGAGAATCTGGACTTCAATGTTGGATCTGGCCAGCTCTATCAGTCCGTTTCCAAAGTTGAACTGAGGGAAGATGAGGAAAGCATTGCATAGCTTTCTGAAGATATCTTGGATAACCTGCAAGAGAGATATTATAGAAATTATTACCAAAAAAAAAAAAAAAATATATATAATGCTTTCCTCATCTTCCCTCAGTTCAACTTTGGAAACGGACTG